TATAAACTTTTATACAAATGGAGTTTATCCAAATGGAGTAAACGAAAGATCCGTTTGTTTCGTGAAAAATGTATCATTTTTAGAAAACATTTTCTAGGAAGTGACTTCATTTTTCGGTGTTTGACTGAAACTTGAAAAAGACCGGAAAAATATTTTCCGTTGTTTGGTAATGAAAATATGATGGGAAAAATAATAAAAAAATTCGTTTTTTTAATTATTTTTATTTTTATATACTTTTCTTTCCTTTTCTTTTTTTCTTTTTGCTTCTTCCTTGACCGGTCAGGCTCGACTTCACCTAAGGCGATCGTCGGCCGTCACCGTGGCCGGCGATTGGCCGAGGAAGAAACAAAAAGAAAAAGGAAGAAAAGAAAAAATTAAAAATAATAAAAAAATCGATTTTTTATAAATATTTTGATAAGAACAAACATTTCATTAATCAAGGTCTCGAGCCCGATTGCCAGAGACCTGATACTGAATGCACGGACCCGAGAATCAAAGTTGGGGTTTCCACGCCCAAATGTAGAATTTCATATCCAAGGGTCGATATTTAGTCATATTTTGGAAAATGTTTTCTGATTCTTTAAAAAAGGAAATGGTTAATATCACGAAAAATCTTGAACTGGTACACCTATGACAATTTTACCCCAAACTAATTTTTTGACCACAAAAAACTCCATACTGGTATACTTGTAATAATTTTACCTTTAATTTGTTTCCGTTAAATTTTACTGTCAAATTGTTTTGTTAAATGACACACGGCAGTTGACTGACGTGCTAGTTTTATGTTTGACCCTTCGTTTGTCATAGGTATACCAGTTTGTGATTTTTTTTTGTATGAATCCAATTTAACGGAAACTAATGGAAGGTAAATTTGTCACAAATGTACCAGTTTGAAATTTTTAATGGTCAAAATATTAGTTTTGGGTAAAATTGTTACAGGTGTATCAGTTTGGGGTTTTTTGTGGTCAAAAACTAGTTTGGGGTAAAATTGTCATAGATGTACCAATTTGGGGTTTTCCGTGGTATTAATCCAAAAATAAATCATTTTCCTGAATTTAAGTTTTGGTAGAAAAACATTTTTCGTTGACTCATTTGCCAAAGCGAACCAAAAGCTGAAAAATAAGGAAAATGTTTTCGGCAAAACAAACGGACCCAAAGTTATTAATATCAGACACTTTATAGACGTCCGTCCGTTGGTTCTCTGCATGCCCAACAACCCTTTTACCCGATCAAAAACACCAAAGAAACCTCAATAAAATTTGAGGAAAAAAAAAAGGAAGAAAGGATTTTTGGGAAAATACAAATATAAAAAAAAAACGCTCGAATATTGGAATACTGCACATTTGTCTCTTAACTTTCACCTTTTATGACGAATTCACTGGATTTCCATTTTGGTACATTCGTTGACTATGGATTTTAAAAGTTACCATGAAGGTAGCTCTATTTATGCAAAATATTTGAAGAAAAATGCATTTTTGGTATTGAAAAGTCATGTGTTTCGCACATGCATGGGCAGGGACTTAATAATTATAATGAAATAAAATTTTGGAGGGATGGTATAAAAGTTGCCATGTTCTTACGTTTTTTCTTACTTCTTGATGGAAATAAAACTAATATTTTGATGTTAAAGATCTAGTCATTAAATTATAACGAAATAAAACTAATATTTTGATGGATTTTGTGTAACTTTTTCTTTTCTTTTCCTCGGTTACCAAGACAACGAAGAGAAAATGGCCTGCTTCTCTTACGTTTTTTCGGTTTTGGCTTTAAACAAATTTCGTTCTGTCCACTGCATTTCAAAACAATTGTCGCAGTCTGATGTTAAAGATCAAGTCATTAAAATTTAATTAGTTTTGTTAAAAATTCATTTATTAAATGATTAGACTTCATACATATGCTGCATGGTAACTTAACGTTGATATAGGAGAGTGGAATTTTCATCGACAGCAGGAAACAGTAAATGCCCCAAATTTTGTAGTCGATATATAAAAGTACAGTTATGTCAACGATCTTCAAACAAGCAATGATAATAATCAATGGAACGAATTCTAAATAATGATTGTCAAGCTAGAATTTCAATTTTTGTGTAATTATCCATGAAGAATATTTAATTCATATGTGAAAAATTACCAAATCAGTCATTAACCTATTGTGCGAATGCCAAACTTTTCAATTTTACCAATTTAGTCAAAAACTTTTGCATGAAATTCCAATGTAATACTTCCAATCAATTTTCATAAAAAAAATCACTGACATTGCGGTTCAGTCATCACTGGTCGTCTTACGTGATACATAGACTTGTCAAAATGAGTTACAGATCCATTTCTTAACCCATATTTGATGGGCTGAGTTATTATATGGGTTAATTAGATTCATTAAATAGGTCATAAATGAGTTTAGAATGGTAAAACTCAAAATAATATGAGTGTTAAATGGGTTTACAATTTACTTAGACTCAACCCACCTCTATGACTCTCTCTTTACTCTTTCTCGCTCTCAATCGATCTCGCACTTGCTCGCTCCGCACCTCACCTTAGTTTTGGTAGGAGTTTTCCTAAATTACATTAAATATGGAAGTGTCTTAATAATAAGGATTGAGTGTATGTTGTGTATGAGTTGGTTAGGTATAGGTCATTAGATTGTATTACGTAGAAATTGGTCAAAACAGGTTAATAATTTGGGTCAAACCATTTTCAACCCGATCCACCCTTTTAACAGGTCTAGTAGTACATCACAACGTCAGCGATTTTTAATAAAAATTGACCGGAAGAATTACATCGTAATTTCTTACAAAAGTTTAGAACCAAATTGGTATCTATATAATATGTTTAGAACTAATTTGACAATTTTCTCAAATCAAATATGATAGAAGATTGGATAACTCTTGAAGGATAGTGAGTTGCCATTGTCTTGTGCATAAAAGTTCATAGGTTACCTGTAGGGGACAAATGAGCTATTAAAAGTCATTCTGACTAAGCTACAAGGTAACTTCTTAACTTGAATTTTCGGCGGTCACCGTTTTCTTATATATGGAGAGCAAACTCAAAAAGAGATTTTTCTAATCAAACTTTTACCTAATATTCTATAGAAATTGTTAAGATAGATTCTCAAAATTAATTAAGAAAATAAATAAAGGAGTCTTTTAAAAACTATTTGAGATAATGTGAGTCTCAATGTCTTGGATTTTATCAGGGAAAATTGTCTAAAATGTTCTAAACCTGTTTATCACACTTTATAACAAAATCCTATATACACGTAGCAAAGAAAACTCCAAAGGGCAATTTCGGCACTGGAGCAGCTCTTGTATATGATCTGGCCGGTTGCCTCTCTCGTGCGTACCGAGAAAATATTGCGTGAGTGGAATACTCCACGTCAGCAATGCACAACTCCACTGAGCGAGTGACACTTGGCAAGCGGGCCCACAGATCAGATTTATTAAAAAATCTCACTCTTTCCCTTCTCTCTCCCGTCCTCCGTTAACTCTCCTCCGTTAGTGCTCAAATATTCACTTTTCACCTCCTGGTTTCTCTCTCCTTTACTCCTCCCGCTCTCTCTCTCTCTCTCTCTCTTCTTTCTGTGTCTTCATCCCCTCTCTCTCTCTTCTTTCTGCGTCTTCATCCCCTCTCTCTCTCTTCTTTCTGCGTCTTCATCCCCTCTCTCTCTCCCCTCTCTCTCTCTCTCTTACTTCATTTCAAATTTCACACCTCTCATCTCTCTCCTCCCTCAGTCTTGGAAAATCCTCCGACCACCTCCGATGAGCACCACCGGACGCTCCCTCTCAACTGCTGGAAAAGGACGGAGGCTTGGTGGAATCGAGTCGGGGTCGGAGGGCTCCCTCTGAAGAACTGGTCATCGAAGAGAGATCGAGCCGTGGTTCTACCCGGAGGACCCAGAAGATAGGCGAAGTTGAACTCCCTATCGACGGCGTCGCCTTGCCATCCTCGTCGTCATCTCCGCATTCACTGGCACTAACCGTCTTCTTAGTTGCCCGTTCATCTTCTCCTCTTCCTCCTCCTCCTTTGCCTCCTCCCATTGAGGTGATTAGTTGAGCACCACCCATCGGTGAGCTCCGCTGCTCTTGACTTGTGCATCTTCCGCTACTGTTGACTATTGCTTGAAATTTGTTGACGATTAGTTGCCTTGATTTTGTGCATCCTTAAGAGGGAAAATCGCTTGAGAAAAAAAAAAGTCCTTTTTCCTCACTGCGTTGGAACCTCGCTCACCTTCGCCCGTTGTCGTTAGCCATGGGGTCTCAGGAGGATACAAAACCATCCGTGTTCTTCTTTGTTTTGTGTCCGGAACTGATTTTTGATGATTTGGGCTGTTGTTGTTTGATGCGTAAGTTTCGGATGAGAAGACTTTTGTGTTTACCTTTGTTCTTGTAGTGCACCCAACGTGTTCAACAAAATGTCCATACCGAGTCCGTATATATGATGAGTAATTGTTGGTCATATTGTTTTTTTGTTTTATTATTTGCTGATGGGTAATTGTTGTATCTATTATCAGAAGCCGTGATATGATAAAAAGACCATTGAATTAAGTGTATCATACCAAAGACAAGATGTGCAAAGAACCATTATAGAGACTCGTAAGCAGATGGGTTTTTTCATGCTTCATTTTCATTCTTCTGGATTCTTTGATTGGTAATGGACAGGCTTCTTGTTTACGAGTTCATGAAAAACAGGTCCTTGGACAAGTGGATTTTCCCTTCGTTCAGCTCGCGAGACAGATTGCTAGATTGGCAAACCCGCTTCCGAATAGCCATTGGGATGGCACAAGGGATCTCATACTTTCACGAGCAGTGCAGGATCAGGATCATACACTGCGACATTAAGCCGGAAAATATTCTACTGGATGAGAATTTCTGTCCCAAAGTTTCAGATTTCGGGCTAGCTAAGTTGATGGGGAGAGAGCATTCACAAGTCATGACCATGGTTAGAGGAACCAGAGGCTACTTTGCTCCGGAATGGGTTAGTAACCGGCCTATTACATAACCGGAATGGGTTAGTAACCGGCCTATAACTACGTCTATAGTTATGGGATGCTTCTTTTGGAGATCGTCGGAGGACGGAGAAACCTGGACATGTCTTTTGACGCTCAAGACTTCTTCTACCCTGGCTGGGCTTTTAAGGTACCCTCTCGAACCAGGAATTTATAGTGTCTAATAGTGTTCGCATTTCCTATTATAGCAGTTCAGCGCATTCCTTTTTTTCATATGCTTTCGCCGTTATAAATCCTGTCAACCTCCTCTTAGGAATTGGTGAAAGGAACACCAATTAAAGTGGCGGATAGACGACTAGAAGGGGCCGTGCAAGAGGAAGAGCTAATAAGAGCATTGAGAGTCGCATTCTGGTGTATTCAAGATGAAGTGGTCGTGAAACCGACAATGGGGGAAGTGGTACGGATGCTAGAAGGCTCGGTGGAGATCAACGCACCTCCAATGCCGCAGACTGTTCTTGAATTAGTTGAAGAAGGGCTAGATCAAGTCTACAAGGCAATGAAAAGAGAATATAATCAGTCTAGCTCTTTTACTATCACCATCCATCTGTCGTCTAATGCAACTTGTCGTTACTCGACGATGTCACTTAGATAATATAGACAGGATTAGAGGAAAGAACGACCGATCAAATGAAATAGATTCTTCGCACTTTTTTTGCAAGTATGACAGAATGTCAAATCGCAGGTCGATCCGATTCTAGTCCTCCAAAAGATCGTTGATAAGCCATAGCTAACCTCAAATGATCAATCGAAATGCTTTAGATAAAAGAATTAAAAGGATATACCAATTACCAAATATCCATTAAGAAAACGTAGGTACAATGATGTGTAGGTTTCAAAACCTCATACAGATATGACTGTGGGATCGTCATTCAAGTTTTAAACGTGGCCTTAAATAGAGGCACTATAATCGGAGAGATCGTCGTAATACCTTGACCACAACATGATACATATGAACATGATGCACATTTCATATTTGGAAAAGCGCGCCCCCTACCATAAGAAAGCAGCACATAGAACGATTACATTTGTCAATCCTGGACTTGGTCATAGTCAAGCCTTGCTGATTCCCACCCCTGACCATATTCATTTCAACTCTATGTTCTCTACATTTATATATGATTAATAGTTCAGGTTTCATCATGGTTGCAGTTCAATTTACCAGGTGATCGACCGACTGGTAAAAGAGAAGGATGGATAAAAAAAAACATGAAGTAGCATTGCAAGTGTACAAAAATCCCAACTATTATGTACATTGCAAGGCAACCGTAACCGTTGGAAGAATTATTCAAAGCCTTTACAGAAAAATGCGATGTTCCAGGAAACAAAACCTTGATTTCCATTATGCTAATCCTCATCATCATCAAACACGGCCCTCAATCTTCTCCCACCAATACCCGTTTTGGCTATAGCAGTAGAGGGGACGTCATCACCTGAATCTGCCAACTCAGTATCCATTTTCTCTAGGGGTGCATCATTTGCTTGTTTGATGGGTGAACCAAGATCGTCATTGATGCTGCCAGTTATTTCAACTTCAGAAGTGCCCCTGGAGTTTGAAATGTTCAAGAAAACACTATTCTGACCCCCCGTGGCTTGAACATTAATGGGCCAGTTTTGTTCATCCCTGGTGCAAAAGTTTAATCTGCTTGAGAAAATAATCCAAGACAATTTGACCCGAGCAGGTCAATGCAATCCACATTCGTGCAAAATATGATGCAAATTACACTATTATTACGATATTATTGGCAATTTCATCTCACAAAAGCCAGCCATCAAAAATTTCATTTTCTCTGTTCTAAGGCACTTCAGTGGGTCAATATTCAGCTCCATGTAAACTGACAGAAATCGATAGTTTGAGATCATACATAGCAAGCACACAATATATGCACATGAATAATTACATACACATACATAAATTTTATTGCAGATAAGTTAAGGCTCTTAGCTGATGGCTGCAGTCAATTATAAACAGAAGAAGAAAGCCAACACAGTACTTTAGAAAGCAAAAAGTGTCTTCTTTGTTAACATACCCATCTGCAGAATTTTCAACCATTGCCCCATCACTCTCTCTGTCCAAGAATGTCCCCTCTGTCGACGTTATTCTGATGCTCTCATTTTCAAGGCTCCTGATCTTTGACGATGCGATGAGTTTTCTACTTCTATGAGCAAAGAGCATGTCAGAAGTATGTCTGTGGGCATGTGTGTGCACATATCTAGAATGACAAATGCAGAAGAACAAAAACCTACAGTCTCCATATATCTGCTGTGGAAACGACGAATCTTTAAAACTTAATTACTGATTGAAATATCAAATTTTATCTCTAAAGGTTCAAAACAAAAATAATGGTTCCTTGCACATCTTGTCTTTGGTATGATACACTTAATTCAGTGGTCTTTTTATCATATCACGGCTTCTGATAATAGATACAACAATTACCCATCAGCAAATAATAAAACAAAAAAACAATATGACCAACAATTACTCATCATATATACGGACTCGGTATGGACATTTTGTTGAACACGTTGGGTGCACTACAAGAACAAAGGTAAACACAAAAGTCTTCTCATCCGAAACTTACGCATCAAACAACAATAGCCCAAATCATCAAAAATCAGTTCCGGACACAAAACAAAGAAGAACACGGATGGTTTTGTACCCTCCTGAGACCCCATGGCTAACGACAACGGGCGAAGGTGAGCGAGGTTCCAACGCAGTGAGGAAAAAGGACTTTTTTTTTTTCTCAAGCGATTTTCCCTCTTAAGGATGCACAAAATCAAGGCAACTAATCGTCAACAAATTTCAAGCAATAGTCAACAGTAGCGGAAGATGCACAAGTCAAGAGCAGCGGAGCTCACCGATGGGTGGTGCTCAACTAATCACCTCAATGGGAGGAGGCAGAGGAGGAGGAGGAAGAGGAGAAGATGAACGGGCAACTAAGAAGACGGTTAGTGCCAGTGAATGCGGAGATGGCGACAAGGATGGCAAGGCGATGCCGTCGACAGGGAGTTCAACTTCGCCTATCTTCTGGGTCCTCCGGGTAGAACCACGGCTCGATCTCTCTTCGATGACCAGTTCTTCAGAGGGAGCCCTCCGACCCCGACTCGATTCCACCAAGCCTCCGTCCTTTTCCAGCAGTTGAGAGGGAGCGTCCGGTGGTGCTCATCGGAGGTGGTCGGAGGATTTTCCAAGACTGAGGGAGGAGAGAGATGAGAGGTGTGAAATTTGAAATGAAGTAAGAGAGAGAGAGAGGGGATGAAGACGCAGAAAGAAGAGAGAGAGAGCGCGCGTAATTAAAGAGGAGAGAGAGAGAGAGAGCGGGAGGAGTAAAGGAGAGAGAAACCAGGAGGTGAAAAGTGAATACTTGAGCACTAACGGAGGAGAGTTAACGGAGGACGGGAGAGAGAAGGGAAAGAGTGAGATTTTTTAATAAATCTGATCTGTGGGCCCGCTTGCCAAGTGTCACTCGCTCAGTGGAGTTGTGTATTGCTGACGTGGAGTATTCCACTCACGTAATATTTTCTCGTACGTACCACCTCTCGTTTACAGCGGCAACGGTCAAACCCATTTTGGCTTCTGATGCACCGCGTTTGACTTCAACGTGGAAATTGACGCACTTCGTTTACAATGCCCCCATAAATCGGCGAGGATAAATTTAAGGTAAGAGTGACCGTCCACGTCAGCTTCTTGGATCATATGTCCCCCATTTACGAGACTGAATCGTCTTCAGATAATTCCGTACTAATTTTGTCCCGCCTCCCAACAATTTTTTTCCTCAATTTTATTGACATTTTCATCGTAAACCAGTTCGAATGATTTTTCACGGCACGTTCTCTTCTTCTTTGTCCCTCATGATGACCGATTTCTTTGGAAAAACTTAAAAAAAACTTCTTCACTTTTCGCCTCGACACCACGTTCCGAACTCTGTTTTTCTTTAGTAATAAATTTGCATCTCAAGATTTTATTATTAAACATCAAATGACATCGGAAGTTGGTTTTGTTAACGAGCGCCCCGAAACACTTGTTCAGCATATTTATTAATAAAATATTGATTGTGCGTACCATAACGACAGTTAGTATATTGGAAATTATAACTTATACTTCATTTGTTTCACCAAAAATAAATTATTTGAAAAATATTTTTTAAAAATATATTTGCTTGTATTACTTAAAAAATTAAGGGCTTATTCCAAAAAAAAAGCACTAACTTTACCTTAATTGAGAATTCTGGCCCGAACTTTTTTTTATCTCAATAAAAATCACAAACTTTTACTCTAGTCCCAAATCTGACCTCCCATGATGTGAAATTTTCAAATTGTTCAAGCCAGATTTGGGATTTAAGTGAAATTTTGAGATCTTTTATGAGACAAAAGAAATTCAAGCCAAAATTGTCATTCAAGATAAAATTAGTGTTTTTTTTTTTATTAGGCCAAAAATTAATGAACGAAACGTATTTTTATATGCCCCTACCAAAACGTCTATATGAGTTCGGGGAACCCACTGGTCATTTTCCAACGAGAGAGCAGTTACTCATCCACATAACTATCTAGAGAATGGTTACTCATCTTAATGCAAACCACGCCATAAAATAGACACCAACTCGACATAAAACCAGACCACACAATAGTCTCATGAAACTACAAAAAACATGGTTGTTCATCACCTAAAATTTTACCTCCAGTTTCATCAGATCATTAAGTTCTTGATCAAAATTTGACCAGCGTGATACAACAGCTAAAACACATATTAAACATAACAAATGGTTTCTACTCATCAAAACGAATATTTTGACACCAATTTTACCACCCCAATCTGATTGTCAACTTTTTATCCTTCGGACTGGTCGCCTATCTTCCGCAGTCTAAGGAAGTTTATGAGTTTTCGATTTCAATTGCACATCTTGCAATTAGAGATTGCTAGCATCCCAACGCAACAAAAATCAGGTCCGAAGGAATGTTGAACAAGGGAGTAATCGTCAGTCAAAGTTCGGTCAAACCTTCCGATACCCGGAAGAAATATCCCAGAGAGGAAAACCATACCAAGAGGTCTTAGAATCGAATGAAACTTCCAGACCTCTAAGTTATGATAACTAATGATTTTTTAAGGTAATAAGTTACCGAAACTACACCCAATTCATAAACTCAAGCCTTAGACCCGATAAGAGTTGAAATCTCGGATCTATGATTTCACGATTCACCTAATAATATTGGGCTCATTAAAAAGCTCTCGTCGAACAAAGAAGCAGGTAATTTCCGGGGTTCTATTTTTTAAGTGTAGGTAATTTTAGGGGGTGCGAGAACATCGGGTGTAGATATTTAGCTCTTAAAAATGAACCGACTAAGACATTACCTCCTTTAAGAAGCAGCTTTTCTGCATGGACGTTGAATTTTTCTCATAACTTTTCAATTCCAGTATTCCAATTAACTAAAAGCTGCATAACATTAAAAGATGTTGTCGAAGACTTCCGTTCTTGAACGTTGATCTGATGTTTTTGGCTGTCTTCCATCCCTTTCTTTTGTTGGGAGCTATTGCATCAATTTTACATCTACTCTTTCTTCGAAAAGCTTAAATAAATTCTATGATAACCGCACACTTTGAGCAAAAGACGTGGGAGAGCATAACCTGCATGAGCTTTACCATTGATTGTTGCATGAGCAGTGCCCACTTGAGAAGTAGTGAAATCCCGTAGCATCCCGCAAGAGTATTTGTCTATTTGTGATGGCTGATTTGTACTTCAAGAACTGTTAAATGGCACCGTTTTGTCAATGATAAGATGTGTGTATAAGTGGCACCCTTTGAAGGGGTGTCATTGGTTGTCGGTTGAGAGAAGTTTATATTACTTCCCGATGAGAGAGAAAGATGATAAGATAGACATACATACAGTAGAGAAAACGTACGTTCTCCTCTCTCGATTAGAAAACACACACAAATGGTTCCATCGTTACTTTAAGAAGATGATCGGCAATAACGTTTGTCGTGCTGCGCTTTTTTTTTTTTGGGAATTTTGGGGTTTGCACGCTAAGGAAGTATTTCCGTGCAAAGGTCTCTCCTAGACCATACCTCACGTGACAGTGGATGGTAATTTCCTATTTGATCGAAATTTTCGATTTTGGAGTCGCCACTAATCATTATTGGTAGGTTGACTAGAAACCTAATCGGGGTACGGGAGAAATACCACGATTCTACGAACCAGAAATTCTGAGTACGGGGACTTGGTTACGCTAATGATCTCGAATGGAGATCTTTAACGCCCTTTCGGTACCTAAGAACGATACGATGTCTAACGTGTCATGCAAGTTTCCAAGGCTTACCACTAATCATATCCATTCTAATTGTGGGGAAATCAATCAAGAATTAAATATACAATCAATGTCAATCAAATCAATCAATCCTAAATTGTCTCTAAAAATGAAAATCAATGAAAACATCCAAACCCTAGTGAAGCCCTAAAGGCTTGTTCATTTCATGATTTGTGTCTTTTTTAGGGTTTTAGGGTTTTTTAGGGGTTATAACCCTTGAATTTGAGGTTTCCTAAAAATGCCACTTGGACACTTCAAAAAATTCAAATTTCACTTTCTAAGGTTGGCCACAGTATTTTTGAACTATTCTGTGAATTTTTGAAATTTTTTATTTTTTATTTTTTTTTCGAAAATTGAATTTCTGAGAATTTCATTAACCGAGAATTGATTTTTATGAATTTTTGAAAATTTTTATGAATTTTAGAATTTTTTAGATTTTTCTAAATTTTTCACATTTTTTATTTGTATTTTCTGAATTTTTATGGATTTTCTGAAAATTTTTGAATTTTTATGAAATTTTCTAATTTTCCGAAATTTTTATGTTTTCCAAATTTTTCTGAATTTTTTTATTTATTTTTCTAATTGATTTTTTTTAAAAATTTTTCAAATTTTTTATTGATTTTTACTGATTTTTTCAATTTTTTAGATTTTTTTTTATTTTCCTGTCGAAGTGGTGAACCGGACCAGCCCGATTCAACCCGTTTTGGCTTGGCCGAACCGGGCGTCGCCGGTGCCGGTGCCAGTCGTCTTCTCCGGCGAACACAGCGCCAAAACGGCGCCGTTTTGCCCTATGCTCATTGGGGCATTTGGTCGAGCAGTTAGTGGGCACATTTCAGATTCAACCGTTATCAAGGCCGTCGGTTTGAGCTCGCCGCCGACGACCTTCCGGTGAGTGTTTTGCCATTCAGATTTATTCACTATAAAGTTCATATTACCTACTACCAATCTAGCCTAACCGGAGTGTCGCCGGACCTTCACAGGCTAGCGAAATCCAGTCTAAAAAACACTAACTTTCACTGGCTAAGATTTACATTTCCATAACCTAAATAACTATCCTACTCGCCCTAGCCGTCTAACTCGGTTCTAATGATCAACAAAACATCAAACAAGGGCCTGGAATCACTGATTTGGATGTCTTAGGACCAAAATGAGGCTCCGGCGGGAGGTCCTCAAGCTCCGGCGAGATGATTTTGATAATGGCTGACTCGGTTTATGCTCGTTTAACGCCCAAAATGCAATCATGCAACACAAAATGTGATCAAAACATGTTTTAAGTATCAAACATAACAAAATCACGAAGAAACACACAAGTTTGAGCTAAAACTTATTCTGGAAATTCTGGAAAAACTATGATGAAGATCATACTTTACCTGTTTTGGAAGTGAATCAAATGACTCTCCCGAGCTGATTTGTGGCCGTGGGGATGTTCTACAACACCTGGACTATCGAACTGTGGTCTTCGCTTCGCTGGAGAGCCCCTGGATTGATCGACCGAAGCACTGTTTCAAGCCTTCACGGTAAGCTCAGTTGCAGGTTCGCCGGTGAGGAAACTCACCGGCGAGACCTATTTGCCGGCGCTTTCTGGTCGGAAAGTGCCGATCGCTCGGCCTTAGGAAGTCTCAACTCCCTCTCGCACTAGAAATCGCTCTTTCTCGCTCTATCTTTCCCTCCTCTCTCTCTGGCATTTCACCGAGCACATTCTCCTTTTTCATGTTTAGTTTTTTCTTGTTTTTGTTGATTAATTTTCCCGCCCAAATTCAGTTAGAACCGACTTAGAATCAGTTAGGATGATTCTCTGGCGCCAGCTGGAGATTCTCCAGCTGGCCAAGTCAATTTACACGTGATAGATTGACCGGGGATGTCACGCCCCGAACCCTACGGCGCGCGAGCATCCCAACATAGGTCGAATTTGTGCAACGTCCCAGGACGCGTTGCCGACCCAACACCC